AAATACTGTAAAAGTTTATCAATCAACTTTTGGATGTCTACAAGACTGCAACTCTAGACTAACAATTATACGGTCGGCACAATGTTATAGAATTGTACAAAGTATTCCATTATTAAAGACTTTGAAATTTCCTAATAATTAAAAGAAGAAATTCTAGGTGACAAAGTCACAAAACTATAAAAAAAGTACAATGAAAAAATGTACAGTTGAAAACCTAAAATTTTCTTACAACACTTACCTTCTTCATGGTGGAAGAAGACCTTACTCACAGTTGCATTCAACAATACCACAATGTTCTTCGCATTCCCTCCACCAAGTAGATCAGCAGCTGTGTGCCGTTTTCCGAGCACGTCGAATATCGTACCACTCAATTTAGTCCCTTCAACATGCTCTAGTGTGTACCCGTTAAAAGGCAAAACCCCTGCCTCTAAGAGTCCATCTAACACAACAGATTGCCAAGGACTTAATGTTTCCGGCGCGAAAACTACCTTTGATTCCACCCATTCATAAGCTTGTTTAACCATTTTTTCGTTCCAACCCATTTTCTTAATAAATGCATCACTTGCCCTACTATAAAATCCGCTATTTATAGCGGTCGATCCTCCTAGGACTCTTCCCCTGTAATTCAAAACTCCGTCTAAGGAAACGAACTCTTGTGCTACTGAAGTGTATTTGTTCGTTTCCACGAGTGGATAGCCGAATTTAGTTCGTTCTAAAATTGTTGGGTTGCCGTAAGGGGAGTCCCCTCGTTCGATTACAAGCACGGAGTATTTCTCCGAGAGTGTAGCTGCTAATGGGCAGCCGCATGCTCCTCCTCCGATTATTATGTAATCGAAAGATTTCCCTTCGATTTCTGTTACGTCCGAAGTCATGTTTGGGTGCTCAACTTTTAGTCCTGCCATGTAATGAAACAAGGTTATGTTTATGTAGTTAAATGACAATGTCCCTTTAGAAATATATTTCATCATCGACCTGCTTTGCGAGTCTCTCTAATAAATGTCAACAGTGATTTAAACTATGGCTGTGCTCTCTTCAATCACAATATATAATACGTTGTCAAATGAGTAAATATTAACAGAAAAACACCATGAAAAATTAAAAATGATGAAAAAAATATAAGTTTCAACTAGTAGAAACTAGTTTATGTACGACCTAATTTGGTTAAAAAATGCTCACATTTGTATATAAACATGTGAGTTACTATTTCTTAAGAAAAAATATCTTACCATTGTTACATAAAGGAGAGGCGGTTGGTGATGCGCTAGCTGACAAATAGATGATTGAAAGAATGCTATGGATAAGAAACCAAATTCTAACTCTAGTTTCTTGAAGCTTCTTCATTTATGGTATGATGAGAAGAAGATTATTGCTTAATATTTTGAGACTTGAGAAATAGTGTAGTATGTAAAAAGTACAAGAAATTGTTCAGAAAGACAATGACAATCGATATCCTAGAAAACTTTGGTTATAAAGATGCATGCAACCAAAAAAAAAAAAAAAAAAAAAAAAAAAAAAAAAAAAAACTCTTTTCTAATATGAATTTTGTTATTTTAATGGTAGATAGAGAACTAATTAATACTACTAAAACTTTACGCATGTTTAGAGCAATTATAACTTGGACTAATATTCGTCGGGTATGTAATAATGTTGCTTGCTATGGTTATTATTGCATGCTCTTCCTTGGACTTCATGTATAATTGATTGGACCTCCCCATATTTTTTTTATAGTGGGAAGTTATAAAAAGACGTTCTTCACCTACTACCATTTACTTATTATTATAAATTGAAGATGGTTGTTCATTGGTTGATTACGTAAAAAATTGATGTCCGTTAATATAACAACCAACCAATGAGTTCTTGGCTTAGTAATTAGTATTCTCAGGCTCATAAATCGGATCTATCATTTTTGGATAGGTAATTACAACTCAATAATATGGTCGGATTTGAGTCGGTTCGGGTCAATTTGAATTTAGATATGTTTGGTCTGTTTATAATCGGACTAGACCAGACTTCAGTTCAAATTTAGGTCAATTTCAAGTTATTTTAGGTCGGGTCCAAATCTCCTAGCTAGCCTTCAACAATTTAGCCTTTAATTTCATAATCGATTTGAATTGTGGCTGTAGGGATCTACGATCTTGTAGTATGTTAGCATTTATTTGTTAGTTTTCACCAAGTTGTTATAATCAACGGAGAATGGAGGAAGGAAAGGAATACCCTAAATATATGCAATTTATAACTTTGTGTAAAACATGTGCATTGAAAATTGTACAAAAACAAATAAAGTAATAGAACAAACAAAAAAGAACGAACGAAACTCATCCAACCATTTTTAGTAGAGAGATTAAATCGAGCAATTTTTACTCCGTTTATTTAAGTGAAACATTTTGAATTTTTACACAATTCACCTAATCCAATTTGATTAATGTTACGGATTCTTAAAGATGGCAATGGATCGGACATTCGGACCCTAAGTCCATTAGGTGAAATCCAAGTCCATGTCCGAATCTAAGTCCATTAGGTGAAATCCAAGTCCATGTCCGTCGGAGTTTTTGGAGCTCCAAATCCAAGTCCAACTCCAATAGATTCAGACCTTCGAATCCAAATCCAAATCTCCCTATATACTTCCTCGGTTTCTTTTTAGTTGACACGTTTCTTTAGTCACGTTTGCCAATGCACACACTACACGAATAGAGCAAATTGGCAACGGTTCAAACCCCCCCAAAGGCAACGGTTTTGAACCGTTGCGTATTAGAGGGTTGCCAAATCCCAAAATAATTGGCAACGGTTCAAAACCGTTGCCAACTCAACAAATTGGCAACGGTTAACCGTTGCCAATTGCTATGGCGCCTTTTTTTTATAATTAAATTTAATGCAGTTGGCACCGGTTAACTGGTGCCATTGACTTGTTTTTTTTTTTAACACTTCAAAATCAACATAAACATACACCATAATCGTTATTCTCAAAAAAAAAAAAAAACACCAGAATCGTATCAGCAGTAATCACTAATGAACAACAATGAACACCATATACATGAATATATTATATTAAATAAATTGTTATTTTACAATTTATAAAAAAATTATATAAATAAAAACGTAACAATGAACAACAAAACACCAAATCCTTGAATCTTGAATCCTTCGTCTATGAGCAATTGCTGTAGTTGTAATACTACCTGCATCAATTAAATTAAAACCCCAAAAATCAGAAAAAATTTCGAACCAATAACCTGGAAACTAATAAACCCAGAACTTTAAACAAAGAAAAAACCATTGTTACGTTTTAGTCTAGAACCTAATAAACCCAAAAAAACCAATAATCTAGAACCTAATAAACCCAGAAAAAACTAGAAACAAAAAACCCAGAAAAAACCAAAGGAATTCGAACCTAGAAAATTCGAAAAAAAAATCCGAACCCAGAAACCCAGAAATTTAAACAGAAAAAACCAAAAAAATTCGAACCAATCAAATTCGAAACCCAGAAAACAATCCGAACCCAAAAACCGAGAAAAAACCAAAGGAATTCGAACCCAAAAATTCGAAAAAAAATCCGATCCCAAAAATTTAAACCCAAAAAACCCAAAAAATTCAAGAAACTAAGAAACCGAGAAAAATCGAGAAAAAACAAAAAAAAAAACCAGGTATTCGTACCTAGAAAAACCCCAAAAAAACGAAAAAATTTCGAACCCAGAAATTAAAACACGAAAAAAACCAAAAAAAAATTCAAGAAAATACCTTTCTTGGTAGCTATAATTGAAGATGAAAGTGCAAATATCAAGAAACAAGAAGAACGGGTGATTTGAGAGACTAGAGAGATCTAAGGTGCATGCGGATTTTGGAGATAATTAAGCTAAGGGAGATGAGAGAGAAGAAGCTCTGAATGAATTGGAAATAGAATGAATTTGAGAGAGAGATAGAGGGGTTGAGGGAAAGAATAAAAGGAGCCCGATTTTTTTTTTTAATTAATTGGCAACGGTTAACCGTTGCCAACACTAATCCTTTTAATTTTTTAATTTTTTATTTTTTTAAATTCACAATTGGCAACGGTTAACCGCTGCCAAATCTTCCCCCCTTTTTTATTTTTTATTTTTAAAAAAAAAAAACTTGGCAACGGTTAACCGCTGCCATAGGTGGTGTAATTGGCAACGGTTAACCGCTGCCAAATCTCCCCCCCCCCCTTTTTTTTTTAAAAAAAAAAATTTAAACTTGGCAACGGTTAACCGTTGCCAACTTAACCCCTTTTTTTTTTTTTTTTTTTTTAAACCAATTGGCAACGGTTCACCGTTGCCACAGGGGGGTATTAAAATGGCGCTCGATAAAGTTAGCAACGGTTTTCATGAAACGTTGCCGTAGGGGGGTTGCCTATTTCTTTTTTTCTACTAGTGACAAATTCAATAATTAATATCTTTAGTTACCGATAAGCAAAGATTGTAAAAAGTTGATATTTTGAAAATATAAATTGTGACGAATCTAACAAGATCTCACTTGAATATATTTTTATTCACATATAAATCACAAAACATGGTCAAAAGGAGGTGTGTGAATAGTGCTAAAGTCAAAACGTGACAACTAATAAAAAACGGAGATAGTATATTATTTGGTTGTTTCATTGTAGATCGTTAATGCAAAGTCTTTACTTCGCTATTTTTTCTTATAGATTTTTAATACCCCAATTACCGCATTTACACCTTAGTATATTAAAGGTAGTATAATTTGTTTTCTACAACTTTGAAATGTAGCAAGTCATTTCCACAAACACCAATTTAAGTCTGATATGGAATAGCTAGTAATCCGTATTGGAAAAGTTTTTTAACACCATCCTCTACAAATTTGCCTTTGAAAACATGATTGTTCTCTTCACTTGAAATAAGGTGATATGGTTTGATTTTAAAAAGGTCTGGTCTAGTATGAAGTTTTCTAGTTTGGTCTGATGTATTAATTTGACTAAATGTAGATAAGAAAAGTGAGCTACTTTATGTACACATACTCCTATCACATTACAGATAAATTGTTTTCAGTATATACTCTAAAAAGTTGGCAGAAAGTCCAAAAATATACAAACAATATCAGATAAGTTTTTATAAACAAACATTATCTCCTATAACCCACTATTTTTGGCGCATAAAAATGACTACATTATACTTAAATTAGGGGCCAATAATCTAGCTTAATGGTCCACTAAAAAGCACCTAATAAAGATGCACATTGAATATTTCTATTCCTTTGAATTCAAGTCTATTGCTTGCCTTGGACCTAAATCTAAGTCATTCTCACATTGGCTATTCAGATCAATTGTCTCAAAAAGTCCAAACTTTTTTAGCCCATGTCCCATTTCCTCTCCATAACCTTGCTTAAATGATTTCTTACTGTCTGTTTGCTCTACACAGTTGCTATCAAATACTATGCTTCTGCTCCTCTTCCTCGACCCCGACCCTTTCGTTCTCAATTGATCGAGTAATGGGAGAACAAATAGACATTGTTCTTGGCTACCCTTACCGGTAATCTCTTCGTTTTCGAGTCCTGTTTCTTTCTGCTCCGAGCTCTCGGATGAAGTCAAGGAGCTTTCAGCAGAACATACTGTATGTCTCATTATATGCTTTTGCTCTAGTGATAAATCTGTCACCTCTGTTAGACCAGAGAATGATGAAGTGCTAACCATGGAGACTAGCTGCGAAAGTTCGGCTTTTGCATGTTCGACTCCTGCTGCTGTGCAGTTATAGCTTGACAGTGTTTCCTGCGCTTTCTTCAGCACCTTCTGTAAATATTTTCCTTGAGCTTCGATTCGCAACTGCAAGTGTCTCTGTACCTATAATAACATGATACGAAGTTTATTATACATCTTCAATAATGAGGCCGAATTGAATTACTGTTATAGGATAAATGTGTATCTTCTTACCTCAATCTGTTCATGAAGTTTCTTCTGTACCTCCATCTGCACTTTTATAGCCTCGGATATCTGAACATTTCTGCAATGAAAGAGAACAAGAATCAGTACAGATGAAAATCTTATCTAAACACAGGAAAGGCGAACATTTATGACTCTTACTCATTGATCTGTTCTTGAGATGGATCATTTATTTCCTTTTCCTCGCAGAATAGATTAAGCGTGTCCATGGCCTGGCTTTCTTCACAGTCTGCATCATCTGGTTTCGATTCACTGCAGGTTTCTGATTGCTGAATATGCTGATGATTCTTTCCAAGCCTGAATTTCTGCAATGATCGAAAAACGATGTGTACTTCAAAACTCTGCTCTTTCTAGAAGCTAAAGATTATAAGCTAAGGTGATAGAAGCATGAGATGAATTGCCTGTAAATGACTCTTCAGGTGATACAAAGTAAGTCCTGGTATTCCCATCACCCTCATCAGACCCTTCGGCGTTGCCCCTGCTTGATTAATGAATAAATGAAAAAAAAAAAGCTATTGAATGAGAACACATAAAAATACTGTAAGACGAGCTAATGTTATAGAGAATAAAACCATAGTAAGAGAAAATGAATGAAGGGATCGCTACGCAACTGTTAGCACCACCAAGCTGATCGACTGCTTCGACAAACCGTTGGTGAAGATCCGGTGTCCATCTAAGCCTAGGCTTTGCATCAGTAGATAAGACCAAGTTCATGTCTTGAGTTTCCAAATTTTGAAGATGACCCATGTTTATTTTTATGGAGGAATGACAGGTTGGAAAATAGCCAAGGGAGCATATAAATAGTAAGACTAATACAAGTAGTTTAAATACAGAATAAGGTAACTCTGACCCTTGAAGCTCTGATGCTTCAAAATAAGCAGAAGAAGTGAATTCTTTTTATATAAAAATTGAGAAGTTTGTTGGACTTGTCCTATGTTCTCACTCCATATCTGGAAACATTTTAAGTGGGGTTCTACAAGGAATATATGCCCATGAGCTGGGGATGCTTTCCTCTCACCTCCCCAAAAAATTCATGTCACCTTTTTTATTTTTTAGTTTTTGTAAAAAAAAAAAATTACAATTTTTTTTTTTTTTTTTTTTTTTTTAAAATTTTCATTTTCAGTTTTCAACTTGAGTTACCTCTCTCATGTCCTTTGACTTGAAAGGAAGTGGGAGAGAATCTCACTGAGGCAGGAAAAACAGAGAAAGCAACACATTTCAACATGGAGTCTCAAAAGGATAGAAATACAAAGAAAAGAAAAGGAATAAAAGTGTAGCCTTTGTTTGTATCTTCCTTCACCTCTCCTTCCTCTCTTATTTCCAGGGGAATTAGATAGCCCCACCATAATAAAGAAATAGAGTGTAGATGCAGAAAAAAAAAAAAAAAAAAAGGATACTCTCCACGTCTCAATTTACCTGCATCGTTTTCGCTTTTAAAATGTCCCAATTTACCTATCTTATCCCTTAAATTTCACAATCATCTACCTACGTTTTTTTTATATCTTATGTCAAAAATCATGCCATTAGAATATGGAGTGAATAAAATAGGATGGAACAGGTAAAATAAATTATCATTGATTGGAATTGTTTGTTTGAATGGATATTTATTATGATTGAAAGGATATTAGACCTATAATGTATTATCTCTTATTACTTTTCTTTCATGTGGTTGAAATTGTCAGATTCTTATTGTTCCTTGTAAGCTAAAAGGAACCAAAGAATCTATTGATAGATTTTGGGGCACACTCAAGCCATCTGTATTATCTACTACAACCCAAATGACAATCAAACCAGCCAGTTCAATGTAACTGAATATGAATAAGAATATGAATTCCTAAGACCATACCCCTCCTATCCTCTTATCTCTACTACGAATAGAACAAAGATGAAACCGCATATCAGCAGAGTTATCCATGCACAGAGAATCAGATTTTCGGAGCCGTGAGCCCGTGAGCATTATATACTGATAATGTTACAGAACTCAGAATATATCCCCCTTTATTTTGTTCTGAGAATATTTACAAGCAGTTGGAGAACAACTTATCACTGGCTCCGTCGATATGTTCTAGGCTTTACTGTAATGCATAATTGGGGTTAAAGGTACTTGCAGCTGAGATCAGGTTCTATTCTTCAGCTCCAAGTCTAGTTTTGTCTAAATAATGATTAGCTTGACCAGAAAAGTTAATTCTGTTGTACTTTCCCTGTTTAATATTCCTTAACTACATCTGTAATTACATCTAGTTCTTTCGAAGTAATAGGGAAAAGATTAAAATTACCATAATCTTCTCCTGTACAACTTCCAATGATGCATATGAAATTTCAGGCTGAAGTTAGGAGCAAACCCAATAAATTTGATTAGAGAGTTACAAATTAGATATGAATCATATGATGTTTTACCCCATACATTCAAGTATTCAACACACTTGAAGAACAGGGCAAATGTTAACTTTGGTTTAAACTTAGGTAAATTCCTAGGTCCGCCACTAGTGGAAATACGACTATAAGTCTATAACAGCTCAATGAGTGCGGGATAATATACATTACACTAAGTATGCATGAAAATTTCTCTCCAAAACTGTTTTTTACCAAGAAAATTGCTGAGCCAATAGAAGTATATGAAATGAATATTCTATGCACACTTAATGTACATGTCTAGTCGTGTTAATAATCGATCAAGGCTCAGACCTAGAAGGAGATGGTACAATTAGAAGCATGTTACCAACTCTGATTTTAGCAACAGGCAAACAAGTTAGGAAAAAGAACATCTTCTCTCTATTTTCTCATGAGCAGAAGACTTGAAAGTTAATCTTCATTAGGGGAGGTAACGACCTAACGTACACTAGAATATAAATGGAAATGGCTAAAAGTGGTCATATCTAGTTTTTATATTCAAACAATATAAAGCAATCAACACGATTGATAGCACTCCAATGATGAAATAAGAAAGTATGGAATACATTTCGCATACTAGATTAGGCCTGTAATCCATATCCTAAAACAAGCTAAAACTTAAGATAGCAAAGTGTAAATCACGAACGAAAAGGGGAAAAATTAAAGAAGCACAATATGGCGAACAACATATCCAAATTGATCAAGATTGATCTTCCTTTAGATTTCTTGGGTAACGGTCTAAGTGTTTGATAACTAAGGGGAATCAGAATTTAATCATTGATTTTCTAAAGTGCTGCTATCTCAGTGCCATACAATTACATGTTCTGGTGCATTGTAAAATAATTTCCAGGATGCGAAAAAGAGAAAAAGATTAGATACCAGGTAACATTAGATGAAAAAAGAACTTCAACTATTAAAGGGGGAGATAAAAAGAAAAAAATCAAGAGCACATATTAAGGGACGTTGCTTTTGTATGCTGAAAGCATACAGGGGACTTTAAACCTGGGGATCTTAACTGGTTGGTCCACAATACTTTGACATATACATGTAGGCTTATTGCACATAATAGAAATGATCAGCGACGATAAAAACATATTAATAAACTCGTCATAATGAAAGAAAGGAATCAATTTTTATGTAACGGAGTCTATGATGAACTGTGGCCCAAAGATTTGAAAAACAAGCGAAAAAAAAGAAATGTTGATGAACCTTTCTCTTTAGCTAGCTGATGTACTTAGCTCTTTAATCGCTTTAATATATTCCATAATAAGTAAAGTGGATTCTGGGGCTGATGCTGAAAGAATCCTGTGTAATTTTTTTGGTTTGAAGGTGAAGTTGTTGTGAATTAAAACATAAAAAGTTCTCTTAAGAGGGGCAAAGGGGGTTCCTTCCTCATCAATTATTATTCGGTAGGGACCTCGTGAAGAAGATGTTTTTATAAAGCCAAAAGCATGAACATCAAAATGAAAAGAATATGGTCTCTGGAATCAAAAAAAGAACCCCAAGTCACCACCACTCCTACAAAGTAAAATTCATTCAGTTGCTGCAAACTAATACAAATGAAAATGTCATACTTACTGAAAATGACGCGAGCAGTATGTCACACGTTTAAATTCACCTTTCTGTAGTTACTTCTGAATTAAGATCACTTTGGACTTGAAAAGAAGAAAAGAATAAGTAGTTAGCATCTATTTTTCTTAATTCTTCTTCTTCTTTTTTTTTTTTTAACTTTACATGACAATTTACTATTTACATCAAGGTATAAACAAACTGGTTTAACTTAGATAAATAAATAGTAGAAAAGTAAATAAGCATACCCCCAAATTGAACAGATGTTCGACATTCCACGTGCAAGTTTGATGTCTACAGGTCAAGAACTGTATTCGGCGATGGTCCATCAACTTATCATTTCTTGAAATTCCCTCTTTGGAAGGGAACCTGGGGCTGCAAAGTGACGGAATCCTCCCTCTCCCAAAAACAAGAAAACAATTGATATTTAATAAGCATAAAATGATTGGTATGAATTGGCAGGTAAGGATAGTCAGATATACGTGTGACATTCAGACATAATAATAAATATAGCTTAGAAATATTCTCTCGATCCATAGCACATAGTTGCTGGTGTAATTTGGACTAGTAATGTGTTGACTAAACTTAGTACTTCGTAAGAGAGATTTATAAGTATCCGGAACAATTATATCAGCATCCAGTTACATATGGAGTACATATTATATTCTGCATACAGGTTGTCAGAGGCAAACATTGAGCAAGGACAGTAAGTTAGATTCTTTCATCTGATTTACTGAAATTTATAAGTCACAGATCATAGCATAAATATACCCTCAATAGTAATTTGTGTATTAGTTTTATTTTTGAGTTTTGTTTTCAGATTGATGCAGAATATACAACGCTCCAAAAAAGTATAGCCAGGCCAACTAACAGTGGATATAAATCATCATAATTTCAACTAGTGAGAAAGAATAATTTCCCTCGTTTGTCATGATATAATACCTTGAACCATTACAAACAGAATGTCTTTGTCAAAGACCCCACAATTTAATCACAGAGACAAACCAGAATCACTGTTAAAATATTCCGTTGTATAATTTGATCAAGACTTATTCATAGATGACAGGATAATAAGCATTATTTTCTGATACCACATTATTTCAAAGGGAAACTAATAATACTGCAAAACTTGCAATAAGCACAGGGCACTACCACAAACGCCAAGCGGGAACCTAAAGATAGCAAAGCAATGAAATCTTGTGTTCACTTTTCGAAGTCCTTTCTACAGTATAGTAATGTCATTTTACGTCAATGAGTCTGCTGATATTAGGTAACCTAGTATAATCCAGAACTAAACTGATTTTTAGATGATCTGAAAACACTAGTATAGACCTGGAAGGTGTTCTATCGTCTTATACGAAGTATATCACAATAACTTGACTCCTATTTCGAAGAAGTATGTCAGCTAATCACATATCAAACCAGAGTTAAAAGAGATAAATCTCTGAGTTAAATCACTGCAATCTTATATTGTTTGAGCTCATCATTTTATTTCACATACCCGTGATCCTTGATTCTTCGACCTGGATATGGACAATTGACACTTTTTTTAAAACCAAATAAAGAACATTTTCATTTAAAGTTCAACACATAAACTAATACATAGTTCTAGTGTTTGAGTAATATAGCTGCAATCACAGGATTATGAGTGCATACACCTTAAACCACCTCTCTACTTAGCCATTCCAAACACAGAATGTCGTTAAGACACTATAAATTGTTAATGTCCAACGGTATAGCATTACATTCCCACAATTACACTGGTTTAAAACTAAAAGCTTTAGATCATCAATTCACAATGCTAGGAAGGGAAAGGATATAATGACATAAAAATTTAGCACAGCAAGCCAAACTTATGTTTTTAGCTACAATGTAAAAAATTTCGGAAGCATATCAGTCCACTGATAATTTCAGCCATACCAAGTGGAAACAAGAAAGAAAAAAATGTGCTTTGAGTCTCCATGCGACCATGCGTATGCAGCAGCACTGAAAAGGTGTTCTCAATTTTCATGGAAAACTTACCATGGACAACAATAATTTACAAGGAAAGGCTAAAGCATAAATCCTGACAACATGTTAT